ATATATATAAAATAAGTAGTGGTCCAGTGCTGACGAAAGAAACAAAGAAAGCATCAACAAACCGCGCATATTCATACAATTATACGCCAAGTCAAAACCGTCAAGAAACCTCCTTGTCCCATCATTTTGTTGCTATCTACCACACAGGTTAATTTAAGCCGGCATTGCCGGCACGAATCAAGGGTGGGTTTATCGCACTAATTGGAAGATGACACCTCACTACCAAGCAAAATTTTTTATACGTGGTACCAAACATACCCATATTCTTATATATATATATAAAATAAGTAGTGGTCCAGTGCTGACGAAAGAAACAAAGAAAGCATCAACAAACCGCGCATATTCATACAATTATACGCCAAGTCAAAACCGTCAAGAAACCTCCTTGTCCCATCATTTTGTTGCTATCTACCACACAGGTTAATTTAAGCCGGCATTGCCGGCACGAATCAAGGGTGGGTTTATCGCACTAATTGGATCCACATTTTCATTCCTAAATGGGATATTTATTTTACTTAATTTCATTAAAGAGCGTATAATGTCTAAAAAATACATTTCAAAAACCAACACTAAGAGCATAAATTCTATCAGAACAACTCGCATGTGAGTTTGATTCACACAAATGAAAATAAGAGGAAAGTTTGGAATTCATTTTCATTGTATAATCAGAACAATCGACTCACATGAAGGTTGTTATGATAGAATACATATTCTACTTAAAAAATTGTAAATAGACAAATTCAGACTTGAATCACCACACTTCAAATTTGTAAAAGAAATTTCGATCAATAAATAAGTGGGATAAAAAGGAAAACAGATTATGAGTGAATTAAGGCTCTGTTTGGCAAAAATAGCTGAAAGTTGTGAGATTATAATTGAAAGCTGTTAAGCTAGCAGAAAGCTGTGAAATTATAGCTGAAAGCTAATAGCTGTGTATCTAGCTGATTGAAGTAGAAATGTTTGGCAAAAGTAGCTGTACAACTAGCGTAAATTTGTTAAATGACTAAAAAGGACATGTAATATTATTGATATAAAATTAGAATTATTCAACACTCATTTGCCCTAATTATTTAGGTGCAAAAACGAAAGAAAAAAATTTGACAGATCCTTCCCAAAGACAAACGCTACTTGAGGTAGTTTTCCAAAAGCTACCTGCAAAAGACACAATCTCCAAAATAATCTCCTTCTACTAGCTTATTGACAAAGTCAATAAGACATAATATCTTAGATAAGAGACAATCTCTTCTTACCAAACAGTGCCTAAATGATCTCTTGTTCGTGTAAAGACCGTTTTCATTCATCATCTAAATTACATTTAATTATCTATGTGTCTTTTCTTAACGGAAACTTCTCTCATGTCTCTTGACATATTTGCTTAGGGGGTGTTTGATAATCTGAAAGTGAATTTAACATATGTAAGTTACTTTTTTTTGCAAATGACTTTTACATCCATGTCAGCACGCAAGTGAAATACAATGTTTGTTTGAAAAATTAAATTATTATCGAAAGTGCAATGTGAAGATGACGTGGCAAAATAAGATTAATTAGAAAGTATAATTAAAATTAATTAATTAAATTAGTTACATTTTTTGTCACTTTCATGTGACTTCACCACTTTTTTAGGGGAAGTCAAAATTACATTAAATGATATGTTGCAACTTTCTTGCATCTCACTTTTATAACCACTTACATGAAAACAAACACCTTAATTGTTAAATGAAAGTAACTTTCTCACTTTCATCTTTCACTTACATGCAAACAAGAACCAAAAAAAAAAATGGAAATCATTATAGAATATAAAAGCTCATGATTGGGTTTTGCTAACTATTACCTAGATGTCTCGTTTGGTACGTGGGAATGAGTGGGAATGGAATGCAATTCCAACTCATTATTCATGCATAACAAACACGATGTATTTTTAGATGCTAGAATTACTATTCTCACTTCTTATCAATTCCTACTTTATGTGGGGATTGTCATTCCTAACCATTTGACAAGGAATTGATATTTTCACTTAAGTGGGAATAAAAATAATTAAATAATTTTTGATTATACCCTCCTTAAAAGATACGAATAGATATAAATTCCCATACGAAAAATTATTTCTATAGAAATAATATCATTAGCTACTTGTACAAATATACAAATAGATGTAAAATGTTAAAATACTATTCTTTGTTCGCCTTTGCCCTAATTCCGAAGCATCTGTAGTAGAAAAATAATCTCGTCTTTGCCTCAACGCGACTCAGTTAGGTGACCATTATTTCTTTTTAAACTATGTATGTGTGGCTAATCTTTACCTAATCTTTACAGCAATATTTTTTTATCTTTTGGCGAGTAGGTTACGTAATCTATTGGTAAATTAGGTTAGCAAATATTTTATTTTTGGATGTATGATTTGAAGTTCCATTGAAGCAAATATTTTATTTTTTTGGATGTTTTCTATTCCTAATCAATTTTTTGAAAGTTAAAGGTGCATTTGAAATTTTATAAAAATTTTATATACAGACTAAAAGTTAACATGTTTTTCTAATCCTTTAAAAGTTAGTGTTTTCTTCTGATCTCTCTCTTCATGTATGGACATGGAATTCAGCCATAAATCATGTAGCATGGATATGGAATTCAGTCTATTATATACGTTTGTGCACAGTGATGCTAGTAGCATTAGCTGCTCGGACAAGTGGTAGACATGTAGCATTAGAAGTTAGAAATGTGGAATTATAATTATTTATAATCAAAAATAGTTTCTATGAAAATTATTTTTTAATTAGTAAGCCAAAAGTCTGAAACTATTGTTGAGGCGGTGTGCCAAAATATAACTATCAACTGAAAAATTATTTCTATAAGAAAAATATCATTTCTATAGAACTTATTTTTCTAAAAAATTGAATTGTTTAGTCATTTTTAATTTTTTTATGTTATTAAAATTCTGTGTTTTTGTAAGAGCATTATTATAAAACTAAATTTTATTCTCACTTGTGAACAAATGATACCAAACATGGGAATGAGAATAAGATTGACATTCCCTTTTCATTCTCTAAACACGCCCAAACATAAGAATGAGAATGCGCATTTCATTCCCACATATATTCCATTCCATTCCTACATTTTTTTCCATTCTTACTTAACTCCATTCTCGCGTACCAAATGAGGCATGAGGGCAATTGTTAGGGATAAGAGAAAAAGAGAGACAATTGTGAGTGAGACCCGATGTTTCTCATAAACTCTCTTCTTCATCATCTCTCTCTCGATCCTCCTCTCTCCTCCTTAACCATTGTCATTATAAAAATGATTAGCAAGACACATTTTAACAAGTTACTCTTTGATTTGCATGCTAAAGTTTTATAACTTCTAAAAACCTTGCGTTTTAAAAAAATCAACAGAATCAAATCACTCTTGCGAAAAAATAGTGAATGCTCAATACTTGAAAGTATCAACGATGATGTTATCAACTTGCAAAAACCAGAAATGCCCTCACATTTTTGTATCATGCATGCATAGTTCGCATTAGAGTACTAATAAAACAATAAAAACATGTAAATGGATTAAGATTTCAAATTTGGATCTTATCCACTATCAAAAATAGTGGAGGAACTATTACTTAAATCCGTTCATTTATTGTATAATGAATGGTTAAGATTTGTCTTCTTTAGCGGATGTTTGTTTGCAAAAAAAAAAAGAGAAATGGAGGATTTGAAATCAGACCCCTTAGCCACATAGGATTTTAATTTCTAGACATTTCCATTCTTAGTGTTTGTTTCGCTGGGTGATTTAAAGAAATGGGGGGTGAAATGAGGGTGCCATATCAGATTTTGTAGAAAACTTATTTCAGACCAAAAGTGGTTGAAATGAGTGAGAAATGTCACATCGCTGAATATTTAATTGTTAGGTTCACTGTTGAAACGACGACAATAAGGTAAATGGTAATATTTAATGTCATGTTGCTGAATATTTAATTGGAAAACTTATTTGATTTCTTAAATTTTGGATGTTCAAACAAACCCAAGAAATGAGAAACAATGTTTTCCAGCTTATGATTTCAATGTGAAACAAACCAAATAAGTTAAATAGGGGAAACCCTTTGAAATGTCTAGAAATGGTTTTCAAACTAGTTTTCTGTTTTTTTTTCGGAAATGTACCAATTAGACCCTTAGTATAAAATAGGAACAATTTGCAATTCATGAGGACAAGTTTCCTAAAATCAAAGAAAATGAAATAGGACCCCGGAAACGATTAAAAGTTTATTTCCATTCATTTTCATCCTTAAAAATCACCAACGTCATCCAATAATATAGTGACAACTCATCTCATCTCCTTTATTACTTTTAAGAAGTGAACTAAACACAAGAAAAGAACCTATTATAGGAAATATGTTTTCTTTTCTTTGATTTCCTTGTTTTTTTATCCAACCAAATAGCCAGAACAAATTATAATTACTTATAACCACCTATAAAACAATCAATAATTTAAATTAAAAGTAATGATCTCACACTTAATTTTTTTTATAGTGAAGAGAATCCAAATTCTTAATAATTCTCGATGCATGAAAATTTACTTTTGCTCACGCCTTATTATTATTATTTTTTAAGAAAAAGGGGATAAAAGGAATATTTGCATTAGGGCTTGTTTGGATTGAGGGGAATGAGAGTGAAGGGAAGTTAGGGGAACCATTCACCTCCATTCAACTTGTTTGGGAACACTTAGGAGGTGAAGTTAATTCACCCTAGTTCCCCTTGGTTCACCCCCTAATAGTATAAAAATTGTTACCTTCAAATTGGGGTGTAACCAAGGGGAAGGGAACTCCCTTCCCTTCCCTTCCCTTCCCTTTACTCAGTTTCTCTTAACTTCCCTTCACCCCTACAAATCCAAACATGCCCTTAAAATGCCACCAAAAATAGACCAACCAGCTTCAAACGCGTCTATTTGACTATGATTCCGGCTTCGGCGTCAAAATGACAGTTATGCGCCTCTACATGGCAGCCCCACGAATTTACGTTACTGCCCTTCTCCTCATTCGCGCCTGCTCCCTCTCTCTCTTCAGCCTGCTATTTAATCAATCTCTCTCTCTCTCTCCTTTTCTTGTTCTCTATTAAATATATAGTTGGAATTTTTCTGGGTTTTGGGTAAGTTTTTTTTTTTATAATTAGAACATAGTTTGTCAACTAGTTTTCTCTCTGATTCAATCTCCTTACACACAAAAGGAAGTTTTCATTTTTTTCAACACCTTTCTGTATATTATACTCAATTCCATAAATTTCCCTATTAAAAAAAAATCAAAATTTAAGTCTCTGTGTATACTTAAATTATCAAAACCCCAACGACTGATTCTTCGAAATTTCCCACCCACCTCCTAATTTTCCTACCAAAGTTTCAATCTTTAATACCTTTCAACACAAACCCTTGTCTTCAATCTAATGCGATCATCAATCTTCAATCTCATCAGAGCTTAGAACACACAAAATTCAATGGGCAACACCTGCGTTGGCCCGAGTATAGCCAAAAATGGCTTCTTTCAATCAGTTTCAGCCACTCTATGGCGAGCTCGATCACCCGAAGCAGAACCCGAATCCACTAACCCCAAGATCAACCCCAATGGCCCGGAAAACAAGCCCCCTGAACCCGTTAAGATCCCCGAACCAGACCCGAAACCCGTTATCCGCCCGCGGCCCCCTACTGAAGAACAAAGCCCAATCCCCAGCCCCCCTCCTCCTGTAATCCCCCATAAGAGATCACCATTGCAAGTAAACAGAGTCTCGAGTGGAGGCAGGCAAAAGAATTCAGTCCTAAAGCACAAAACCCAAAACTTAAAGGACCTGTACTCCTTAGGAAAAAAGCTAGGAGCTGGCCAATTTGGTACTACTTACCTCTGCATTGAGAAGGAAACGGGCAAGGAATTTGCTTGCAAGTCAATCTTAAAGAGGAAATTGACATCCGAGGATGATATCGAAGATGTTAGAAGAGAGATTCAAATAATGCATCATTTATCGGGGAATCCCAACGTTATCTCGATAAAAGGGGCTTATGAGGATGCAGTGGCCGTTCATGTTGTGATGGGGCTTTGTGCGGGTGGCGAGCTTTTTGATAGGATTGTGAAGAAAGGGCATTATACTGAGAGGAAAGCTGCAGAGCTCACTAGGGTTATTGTTGGCGTTGTTGAGGCTTGTCACTCTCTGGGGGTCATGCATAGAGATCTTAAGCCTGAGAACTTTCTGTTTGTTGATCGGAGTGAGGAGGCGGCGCTTAAGACTATTGATTTTGGGTTGTCTGTTTTCTTTAAGCCAGGTGAATTTCTAGTTCTTCTTTGGTTCTCTCTTTTGAATTGCTTAGATAGATTCACATGATTATTTTCTTTTATAGTGATTCTAGTTCTGATTAGATCTAATTGATTTTATCACCTTTGGTAGATGCTACGAAGTGTTGTGAAAATACTTGTTTCTCCTGCTGTAATTACATTTTTTGTGCCAGAAACTCATTAGATTCAGCTGAATGAAAGTGACTTTATTAGTTAATCAACTGTCTTGTTCGTTGTATTGAGCCTGTGATTTCTATAGGAGAGGATGCCGAGATTAATTATCTGTGGCTTTATCATTAATGTTTATGGCGTGCTTGTTTGATGACTCAATGTTGAAAATATTGCCACACATATGTAAGCTTTCATTTGCAAAAAAGAAAATACTTTTCTAAATATAGCGGACATTTATTTGCGAACCTTCTTCAGGTGATCTTGGATTATGCAGGAAGCAGAAATAAAGTTTTGGTGCATGGCAGATCTATGAATGCAGGGGCATATGCTTTCACTAGCAAATACATCCGTACACTGTCAAGGTTCAAAAGTGCATAATTGTGCTTTCTTCAGCACATATAGATGGTGGCATGGTGCATTATAAACTGTGGGCTTAATTTTTTCAGTAGACTTTGATTTTTTTCAAATAAGGGAGTTAATGTTTTCATATAGCAACTGGTAAAACAACGATAAGGGTCCTTGAGAATCTTTTGTAGTTATATAACAATCTCAAATAGCCCTAAGTACCCTGAAATGGATAGTTCTCTTATCAGAAGACAACCATATTTTATAAGCTTTTCCTTATTCAGTTTAATTTTATAGTAGTTACCTATATATTTCAGGAGAAATATTCAATGATGTTGTTGGTAGCCCTTACTATGTTGCACCTGAAGTCCTAAAAAAGCGCTATGGACCGGAGGCAGATGTGTGGAGTGCTGGAGTAATTATTTACATTTTGCTTTGTGGTGTTCCTCCATTTTGGGCAGGTTTATTACATTATGCTTCCTATTAAAAGTTCATGCAGTATTTTTAGCTCTTGATATTATCTTTCCATATTCACTGATAGTGATATGGTTTTGATTTTCTTTTAAATGCAGAAACTGAGCAAGGCATATTTGAAGAAGTTTTGACTGGCAAGCTTGATTTTGAGTCAGATCCATGGCCCAGTATCTCAGCTAGTGCCAAAGATCTTGTAAGGAGAATGCTTGTTAGAGATCCGAAGTGTCGGTTGACTGCTCATGAAGTTCTATGTAAGTTCAATTATTGTCAAAAATATTTGATAAATGTAATTGAGAATTCAATTCAACTTTGACAGAAACAATTAACTATATATAACTTTGTACTTAATTTGGTTTGCTATTTGATTTATTACAGGCCATCCTTGGGTTCAGGTTGGTGGTGTGGCACCTGATAAGCCTCTGGATTCTGCGGTTCTTTCTCGCTTGAAACAATTTTCTGCAATGAACAAGCTAAAAAAGATGGCTCTGAGAGTAAGTATCAGAAAGCTTATATATACATACATCGATAATTAGAAATGATTAAAGAATATTATTTGTGAGTAATTGAGCTTTCAAGAAATGCATGAACTGAAGTATTTACTACACATAGGGAAGGACATGCTATTATCTAATATATTCATTTTCTCGATTACATACAGCTACTTTATTTCGAAAAATAAGTTTCAATCTTGAAATTTATGAATAGCTCCATATCTCTGTACAATTTAACTACTTTCAATTATTATTTGTGATTGAGGTTTCCTTTTAAGACAACACATCGAGAACGCTTACCTGTGGGAAAAAGAAAGCAATTAGAGGAAACTATTATGATCAACCGAAATGCTCATATACACATGCTAGATTAACATCCAGACAGAGGTTAATGAAGCTGTTTTTTTTAGGTAATTGCTGAGAACCTTTCTGAGGATGAAATTGCTGGACTCAAGCAAATGTTCAAGATGATAGACACTGATAATAGTGGGCAAATTACTTTCGAAGAACTCAAGGTTGGGTTAGAAAGAGTTGGTGCAAAACTTAAGGAGTCTGAAATTTATGCACTTATGAAAGCAGTAAGTATCTGTTCAAATTTAAATACCAGCATATTCATTCCATGTTTGATCCTTTATTATTATATCTCAAGTCTTTTTTTTTAGGTATAACTGTGATGAGAGGCTATTTTCCACCATGTCATGACTGCAGAGTTTTTTTTTCCTTGCTTTTTTTTGGGTAAATTCACAAAACTACTGTGAATGGGTAGGAGTTATGTAGAAATACTAGAAAAAGGATATCTATCATAAACTTTTGAATCCATATTTATCAGTACTATCAGAAAACCACCCATGATTAAGTGTCATGGATGTTCATTTATGTTTTAAAAAACTACCACAAACTTTCTTTTTATTGTGAGATAATTATTATGGACTTCCAGTTACTATTATGAAGCTACCATATAGTTTTTGGATACTATATGATATTTTTCTGCTCATCTGAAAGTTTAGTCTTTTTCTCTAATATATACTTTATGGTAAATTTGTACAAAACCTGTAATAGTCAATGTTTCTCTTGTGAATTTTACCTTCGTTTATTTTCATGAATTTTTTCACCTATTCTTTACATCAAAATTGTCTCAGACTTCTCATTTTCCCCCCTCTTTTCCTCAGGCCGATGTTGATAACAGTGGCACAATAGATTACGGGGAGTTCATAGCTGCAACTCTACATCTAAACAAAATCGAAAGAGAAGACCATTTATTTGCAGCATTCTCTTATTTTGACAAAGACGGTAGTGGCTATATCACTCAAGATGAGCTACAACAAGCTTGCGAGGAGTTTGGTATTGAAGATGCTCAACTTGAGGAAATGATCCGAGATGTTGATCAAGACAATGTAATTAATCCTTTATCTCTATGAATTTTCTCAGTATTTAAAATGCAATTTCATGGGGCTAACCTTTTTCATTTATTTCTTTTTCAGGATGGACTCATAGATTATAATGAGTTTGTAGCGATGATGCAAAAAGGTAATGCAGTATTTGGAAAGAAAGGGCCGCAGCAAAATCTCAGTTTCGGTTTAAGAGACGCTCTAAAGCTCTAAGGGGCCTTTTCCTTCTTTTATTTTTTCTTTTAATCCTTACATGTAGATTTATGAGATTTTTAAAGATGAGTTGTGAAGAACGGGAAGTGCTCTTAGAACTTAAATTGTAAACAAAGTTATATTTGCATCCTACTTGTTCTTCCAGCTACTTTGAGTATTAAAATCAAGTATAGAGAACAAATAATGCTCACAAATAAGGGAGTTAATTTTTCTTTTACTTTATCAATTATAAAGATGAAGATAATGTAGCAAAATTTTACTGACAGGTATAGGTCGATTTTAATTGTTTGTTTCTCTATACTTGTCTACTGTAGTTCAGGTTGAAAGAAAAGATTACGAGGACTACTTCGAAAAGAATTAAACCCAAAACTTGTCAAATTATCATCAGTTTGAAGGCACTCGCGTATAAACTTTCAAAGTATTTACAACAAAAATAAACATATGTGATTGAAGCAATGTGTATTTTTTCAGCCTATACGATCACCATTAGCCGACTATTGAATTTTTGAATTCGATATTTTTTTACAATACATTTTTAGTTCCCTCCGGTTTCTCAGTTATCAAAAGTAAACCCTGTTTGTATGATTATCCTTCTTTTGAGTGATAATCTTCTTTAAAATTTTTCTCAAATGAATCATCTTTGGTATATCTCTTTTCCAATTTTGAAATCTGGATTTCTGTTTATTTCCCTTTCAATAACCTGACCAAGATATCTAAAAGAAAGGACCACAAGCATTAATAGAAATATTCATGTTAGTAGTATCGTCTTGCTCAAATAGATTAAGAATATCAATCAGCCAGAAAGCGTGAACATTTACATTCATATATTAATCATGAAAATAATCATACTAACTAAATTGAAAAGTCCCTTTTTTTAGTTTGTAAACATTTGAGTTCAATATTATAATATAATACATTCATGACACGGTTAAGAGGGAAAATATAGGGAGCGTTGTGTATCTGGTACTGAACTATACAAAATCAACAACTAAATGGATTATATGCTTATGAATCAGTTGATAACAACATAAATGATTAGAACGCACAGAATAAACTTTAATAGTGATATGAATGAACATTGAATAAAAAGAAACAAAAATTAGACATCGAAGCCGTGCTTTGTGTTGATGTCCGGGACTCAGCAGCGAGATCAGAAGATAATCTCGAGTTAGTGGCGGGGCTTAGAGCGAATATGGATGGTATAGGTCCCCCATTCCTTCTTACGTCCGATCCCTTGTTGAGAATAAGAGAGCTGCAAAATAAGCACATTAGATGATCAGAGTTGGGTTCTCCGATCTCCGACGATCAAGTCAGTCTAGAGCGTGAGTGGAGAATCAATTAACTAAATAAGTTCTGAATGTATCAAGTTAGTCAGCCAGACTTGACGTCCCTGTAGCCCCATAGGGGTGCTCTTCTTTTGGAGGAAGAGATGAGCTCATATATATATATATACTAGTTTTTACACACGTGCAATGCACGTGATTTAATACCATGATTAAGTATTTTTAGCAGTTTGTGCTCATTTTTTTCTTTAAACTCTTACATCCCGATTATTTTTTTATGTTTGTTTAAATGGGATACACCCAATTTAAATTTTCATGTTGATATTTGAATTGACAAAAAACAAATATAATTTAAAAATAATTTGAATTTTCATATTATTTTTGACCGATATGAAACTAAGCTTTATTTGAGAAAGTATAGCATTGCAAAGTGAAAAATATTAAAATAGTGTTATACAAGGAAGGTGAATATTTAAAACCAATATGGCAAAATGATTGATTTAAAGTATGTTAAAACGATGCAAAAGAGAATATGAAGTTTATTCCTAATCATTGATAGACTTCATAAAAAAATATAAATTAAAGATTAATACTAACTCTAGTATACTTTTATATGATAAAAACATCCACATAAGAATATAAAAGTACTGAAAAAAATTCATGAAACTCCCTTCTAAAGATTCCTAATTTCACTCAAAATAATTAAACTATTCTATAAAATATTCATAAAATATTGTTTTTATTTCTTCTATTTTATTTTTTATTGAGTTAAGATCAATCCTTCTTCAGGTTTATCATTTATCATTTCTCGGACAATTCTAGAGTATTGTCTTCATCATCTACATCAATTGTGACATCAGGCTAATTTTGTATTTTTTATGCTATTATCTTTCCTAGGCTCGTTAATTTTTTATCATCTCATTTAACTTTACAAAGAAGTCAAATGTACTTATGATGTTCAACACAAACTGCTCAAAATATAGACTTTGATTTTTTTCTATTTCAATGAGAATAAATATTAATTTCATATATATAAAATTCTTTGTGTTCCTAATTTATTACTTAAATAAATTAGAAGCTATCTCTTTATTTTCCTCTAAAATGAATTCTTCTGATGTGCATCCAATAAGAATTTCTGTTATTTCAATAATATTACCTTTGCTCTATCCCTGTCATTTTCCATAAAGATCTAAACTAAATACCTGCATTATTCATTACCAATTTCTCTTAGATTATAATATTAATATTTAATTTGAAGAACACAGTATGGAATTTATGAATACTTACTAATTTTTCTTATGTCTTCCATGGAGATTTTTTCTTTGATTAGGATAAAGTTATTAAATTATTTTTTAATGTAACTCATTCAGTGCTTCATTAATAGATATGTCTTATGTTAATGCCAATTCAAGTGATTCATTGACGTTTTCTGAATTTTAGATTTATTTCCATCACTTTCCCATTTGCAATGGAAATAACTCAATTCTTTTAAAGTTATCTCTAAATATTCTAATAGTTTCTCCATATGTAATTCCTTGTATTCTTTTACCCTATAAATATTATTAACGTCAAAGATTAAAGTTTCTAAATTAAAATCAATTAATGCTAAGGTATAATATTATAGTGTTTTATCATTTCTATGGATTTAAACATCTATCAATTAATGTTACGAATGTATTTTGGCTACCCCAACTTATTACTAAAATTATATGAAATTACTTTAATTTATATAGTGCCGATAATTTTTAATCTATAATATTTTTAAAAATTTTATCCATTAACCGGATGTTTTTAATCAATTCTTATTGTTTTTGTTTACCAGTATCAACTTAGACTATTCTTAGATGCTGAAAATGGATAGTAAATCCCTAAATTAGAAATTTTAATATATATATATATATATATATATATATATATATATATATGAAAAATACCAAACAATTACACTTTTCTTTGCCAAGTTTTAAAATTTTAGCCCATTTTTGTGGTTTTGAACTTTGAGGGTGTGATTTATAATTTTTAAATTTTTGAAAGAGTTTTTAAAAAAATTTACTTTTAAGTTTGGTAGTTGTAAATTCTATGTTTCATGTGTTGGTGGTAATTTTTTAAATGTTAGTATTTTCTTGTAACTCTAAAATTTTGAGGGTGTCTTTTACAATTATTAAAATTATAGATTAATTTTGAAAAATATTAAATTTCAGCGGTCTACCAATCGACGAATTTGATGTGTGCTAGTTAAAATTTTTGAAAATTTAGAGTTTTTTTTTTACGATTTTTAAATTTTGAAGGAGTTTTTAAAAATTTTAAGGTTAATTTTGGCAAATTTTAATTTTTTAGGTGTCTAAGGATAATATCTTGAATTCATCTTATTTTATTTACAAATTTTAGAATTTTAGGGTGGCTTTTTATAATTTGAACTTTTGAAGGTGTTTCTATAATTTTTGAGATATTGAGGGTGTTAATTAAAAAATTTAAATTTAAATGTCAAAAATTTTAGGTGTATCATGGTAATCTCTTGAATTCATCTGTGTTGTTTGTAAGTTTTAAAATTTTAGAATTTTAATGTGCTTGTCTGTAATTTAAACTTTTGAGGGTGTTTCTATAATTTTTGAGACATTGAGGTGTTAACTGTAAATTTTAAATTCTTTGCAAACTGATGTTAATTTTTTAATTTCATGTTTTTTATTTTAAGTTTTGAAACATTGGGATGATTTTTATAATTTTAAACTTTTCAGGGTCTTTTCTGCAATTTTAAAACTTTTTATGGTTTTTTTACAATACTTCATGTATTATAATATGTTATCTACTTGTAATTTCTTTATCTTAACAAACTAATATCATTTTTATGTTTTATATATTTTAGTTTTTTTAAATTGTTAAGCTAAACATGGTTTACATAGGATTAGGATAAGATATGATTATGATTAGGATAGATTAAGATATAAATAAAATATTCAAAATAGTGAAGGGTAATATTGACCATTGAAAATTAAAATTTAATTATAGATAAGGTAGTTCAAACTATAAAGGGGTATATTTGTCTAAAAAAGATTTTCCGAACTCGTGCTTTTAAAGGGAGTACAGCTGAGAGGGATAGAAACGTAATTGTGGTCAGATCCAGACAGACAGTTGAATCGGTAAATAGCTTTACAGGTATCGACTGGAGATGCGATGAGTCATCACTGATCTAATGTGATAGTGACTGAGAGGGCGTGGTGCTGATGAAGGGTGGTGAGTCATAGAGACTTGTGGCATAAGATGTGATGATGATGGCTAGGTGTTGGCAAGGATTTCGAGGTCAAACCGTCTCTTGACTCGGCTCTACGAGTTTGATGACAGTGCCACAGTTTTTGTCGGCCTCGCGAATTATCGACCTGGCCTTGAGTGAATGGGGCTCGATACAAATGATGAGGTCAAGTAAGAGTTTGTCTCGACTCGACTCTCATGGGGAAGAGAGGAGTGCCCATGCTGCTCGAGTTACCCCAGGCGGGTGTGAGCTAATAATCAATGTGGGACGCGTGTCAGCTCTAAGAAAAGGATTAACACTTAGGTTAAATGATGACATAACGGTGGACCCTTTCGCTCGAACTCGGGTAGCCAAGTCCGAGTGAAATAGAATTGTGGCT